TTTGGTAAATTTATTCATATTTTTCATCCTTTAATATTAATTTTTTGTATACCTTTGGTTTTTATAATTGAAGACGATCTAGTATTAGAAGGGTAGATGTAATCCAATTTAAAAAGTGACGATAGTTTACGTTCGCCCCTTCGATTGGAATTTATTATATCGACTGTTAATTATTTTCAGCCAATGATATTGTAAATAATTTGCCTGGTATAGGCCGTACATACGTTTTTCAAATCGTAGTACGGCATCTACTACGGGAAATTCATTACATTATATCTTTATAAACCTGACATTTCTTTTTCTGGATCAACTCTCCCCATCCTGACATTTTACATTACTTTCTTAGCAATTGATTTTTTTTCTTCAAATGATACAACGCAAATACCTATTGGACCGAGTGCCCTTTTCTTGAAGAATTTTGTACTGAGACTCGTCGCTTGACTAGCTTTGATGTTATATTGAATACACATAAAGCTGATTGAAGTGACCAATTTCGGCTCAAGAATTCAACAATAATTTCTTCCAACTACACTACTGGACATACAAATTAAGAATTTCACCTGCTATTACCTGTACATACGTTTTTTACTTCTACTCGTAGTACGGCTACTAACGGGTCGAGCTCTTAAATTTTCTAACGCAAGAGTAAAAAATGGTTTTCTTTTTATGGGTCGACATTTGCCTAGCTAGTTGATTGGAAACCCAGCTGGGTGCGTGTTACCTTTGAAACGAAAAATAACATTCATGTGTCCAAAAAACGAGATGCTTAGCAGTCTCTTGTTCCTACTTACGTTTTATGAGCGATGTAGGTTCAATTGGCGGTTGATTACTTTTTTCTCAAACAGCTGTGCATTTAAGACACATTCATATGTATTCATTTACTGGGTATAGGTCGAATCTACGTCTTTATATATCGTAGTACGATCCTTACGACAGTGAACGAATCTGCATCTTGCATCTATTATTTTTCCGGACTCAGCAAAACTCATTACTCCGATGCAAACATTTGCCGCGGGTATTAGTCGTCTTAACATTTCATATGAACGTGAGACGAGCAATACCAGCGGCAAATGAACAGCATTCCAAATACGGAAAATTCGTTAAGAAACACCCATGACAGTAAATGTAATTTCAGGTGGGCTGGTGTCCATCCTATATTGATGGAATTCATAGTTACCGCTTGGCTCCCTTAATATTATTTGCATGTTCTTAACGTAAATATCGCCTAAACGTATTTATATCTAAAATAGGGATAGTTCATTCGCTGGTCAAAAGAAGGATAAAATGTTCCAATTTTCGCCAAAAGAGTTACTTCGTTTTTAGTTACTTGCTATTAACACCGAACGGCTTATTGAAATTTATTGCTTCGCCAGGTTTAGTGTTACCGACATAAAGCTGGAATAAGCGATAATTTTCGATAGGCACTAGCAACACGGTGTGGTTCTAGATATTGCAAAGAGAAGCTACTTGAGTAGCAATCGGCATTTGTCCTTATTCGCCAATGTTTCAATGAAGTTCTTGAAGTGGTCCTCCTTTCAGGAGTTTCAGGCAGATCCAATTAAATGTATATGCTAATTAAATGGCTATTTGTCTTTCTTTTATAAAGAATAACTTTTTAGTGAAATTAATAATGTTTCCCACATGTTGTCACCTTAAATAGACACGATAGTATATTCTATGTGTAGGTACCAAATATTGAATTGGATGTCATCGATCTAGCGGTAGCGTATTTTCTTTCGTAGACCGTTGGTGTCCGGTTGATAATTTGCTGCAAATTCTCTGCAATTAGAAATAAATTACCATTGACTTCTGAAGTGGCGAATATGAAGGTTCATATTTGTAAACCCTTACTGGGTATTTGCTGATTTAACTACGTTAGCATCAAATCGTAGTTCTGTAAATACCACAGTACAGGTTTGCATGCTGTCTATATTTCTGGATATACTACAAAATCTGTCGACTATAACTATTAGTGCTTAGATATTAATTTATATTTTAATAGACTTCTGGCATTTCGAAGCATAATAGGTATAAGGTAATAGGTCGTGATTTTTACGGTTAGCCCTAAAATACTCTGGTGTAATAGTAGCCTATATAAAAATGCTCTATTTTAAATATAGCGTAGAGACTGTATGTGATTTGTTTAGAATTTGTTTATTTACAAATATGCAAAAATGTATCGTTTGGAGAGGTTGGCTGGTATTGGATGAATTAGAACGAATAAATACACTCCGAACAGTGGGCATGTTCAAACAATTGAACAAACAATTTAATACTCGAGAACAAATAAATTATAACAGTAAACACTAAACAATTATTTACAATAAATATACGTGCACATCTACTTCACTTAGGTAAGTTCGTTTGATCGATTACTTATACTCGGTCCAGGGACGCAGGTCAACTGGGCAAAAATGTTATTACCTGATAATAACGGAGAGGTCGAGTTGTCACCCGAATTCTAACCGGTCAGTTCTTATGGGTCGAGTTGTCACCCGATAGGGGTCGAGTTGTCACCCGTTACCTGGGGTAGGTACGGCAGGGTGCAATTAGGTTTTCTATTAATCCTACTTCGTTCAAAAATCCTAAATATTTTTTGAACGTAACCAACTTTTGTTTTTTTTTATTATTTAGATAGATATATTAAATATTTTTTGAACTTTACATATATTTTATAAGATCAATATGATTCTGAAAATATTCAAATTTAAATAAACTCAAATTTCCTTTTACTTACATGTATGTAGAATTTATTTAATGAACAAACGGAAATACAAATTTGAAAATTTAAAAGAACATTTAAAAATATATGTACATTAGGGTGGGGCGTATAAAACGATTGATTACTTGTCGCATGGAATGGAGTTTTTGTTGTAACTTAGGCGTTGCAGGTGCTATCCAAAATTAATTATGGAATTTGTACAAAGTGAACGCGGGAATAAATTAATTCTCTTTAATAATTTTAAATTTTATAAAAAGTGTGCAAGAAAAGAAGGTGTAAAGTGGTGTTGTGTTTCAAGAAAGTGTAATGCTAAACTTTATGTGGATGATGCCGATAGTGTAATTTTAAGAGCAGATGAAACCTACAATCACGAAGTTTGTGAAAATTTACACAGACAGATTGTATCAAACTCTTTAAAGACAAAAGCAGCGGAGGAAATTAGCGAACGTCCAGCCAAATTGGAAAATCATATGGATCATATGGTTTCATATGGAAATCCAAAAAAATAAGTACGCAGCCAAATTGGACTTGAGTGATACATATTCCATTAAAAAGAGAATGTATGACGCGAGAAGAAAATTATTACCACCATTACCTACCAGTGTGGACACTGTACATGAGGCACTAGAAAGTATTTGCATTACTAGAGTAAAAAATGAAAATTTTTTGTTGGTTAATGATAGTTCCAATAATTTAATTATTTTTGGTACTGAAACTAATTTAAAAGTTTTGGCAAAATCTGAAAAAATGTACGTAGACGGCACCTTTAAATACTCCACAAAACTTTTTTATCAGATGTTTACAATACATGGACTGATCAATAATAGTTATGTACCATTACTATTTTCACTTATGAAAGATAAAAGTACATATGTTTCGTATGCGAAATTGTTTGAAAAAATTGTCGAAGAATGCAAAAAATTGGACCTACATTTCAAACCTACATTAATTTTCTTCGATTTTGAAGAAGCCATCCATAAAGGTATCTACTCTACGTGGCCTAACGTACAGTTAAGGGGATGTAGGTTTCATTTAGGACAAGCATGGTGGAGAAAAATACAAAAACTCGGTCTTACAAGTGAATATACAACCAAAGATTCAGAAAAAGGTAATAATTAAGGTAATAATAGCTTCAATAGCTACGTACAAAAAAATAACGTTATCGATTTTGTTGTAGGCGCATGGTTACGTTGGATTTTTGGTTTGCCGTATTTGGATCCCCTGGATGCTGAGGAATGCTTCATTTACGATTTTATGACATGTATGCCAGAATGTCAAAAATTAACTGCATTTGCTGACTATTTGGTCGATAATTACTTGGACACAGATGCAAGATTTCCTCCAAAGATGTGGGCCTCAGAAACAGCGTCATCAGAAATGACCACCAACGCCTGCGAGGCTTTTCATTCTAAATTTAATTCGATTTTTTATGCAGCGCATCTCAATATATTTTCTTTTGTTGATATCCTCAAAAATATGCAGATAGATAGCTACGTTATAATAAATAGCATACAACACAAAAAGAAAAATTATAACAAAAATTACAACAAAAAAACAAATTTTAGAAGAAAATATTAAATTGTATAGAAATAATAGCCTCTCCCGATTTGATTTTGTAAAACGTTGTTCATTTTATTGTAAAATTTAGGTATATTGTAGTTATTTTAATTTAGATAGTTAATTTAGATATTTAGTTATTTTGGTTCCTTAATACTTTGTAATATTTTTAATAAAAATATGTAAAATTGAGATTTTTGTAAATAAATTTTTTGTAAAATTTTTGTAAATAAATTTAACATTCTAAAAAAAAATCTTAAAATTATTGAAGACCAAATGAAATTGAATTAAATAAAATCATAACAAAATCACTCGGGAAACAGAAGTAGGTATTTTCGAATTTAGGTAAGCGGATTATAAATCTTCGGCTGCAGTCCGGCCATGGAATTAAAGTTTTAATCCTCTGACCCTTCTTTACCCACTGACCATCGCTGCAGTCCGGCTATGCCCGAGCGTAGGTATTTCCCAATTATAATTGCGTTTTAACATAAAATTAGGAGGAAAGAGTCTTTGCCCAGTTGACCTGCCGTATTATAAAAGTACCGACGATGGTATAATCCACCGAATTGCTTATCGAAAGGCTTAGCCTTCGGGGAAATTGTCAATAGTCTAATAGGTCTAATAGTTCTAATAGGTATCCAAAATACCTCAATTTTAAGATAAACCATTTTAATGTACTTTAAGGGCCAGTTATAAAAGTTGCAAACGTAGAATCCTGTGACTATCCGGCCATTGGCGTGGAGGCATTGTTTTTTGTGTCTTCTGTAAGCTGTAACTGATTATAAGCTTTATTTTCCGTAATTTTATAATCCACGCAAATACGCAACTTTCCATCCTCCTTTATCACCGGTACCAAGGGGGTCGCCCATTCTGAATTATCAACTAATTTAATTACCCCCTTTTTCTCTAATTCGTTCAATTCAGTATCTAAGGCCGCTTTAAAAGCAAAAGGCACCGTACGTGGTTTGCAGAAAACCGGTTTACATTTGGGATTTTTCAAAACGATAATGACCTAAAGTCATCAAACAACCCACCATATTTTTTAATAGCCGTCAAATCGCTAAATCTCTCAACATTATTTAACTCCATTAATCTACTACTACTATTAATTTGCATCAGATCTCTACCTAACAAAGGAGCAGAGTCGTTCCGAATAACTATGAGCCTACAACGTACTGATATATCACCATACCGTGCCTCAACAAAAATCCCACCCACCGGTGTAACTATTTTTCCATCGTTCATCTTTAATCGATCTCTAGTGTTATTCAACTTACAATTTTTAAAATGTGAATGACAAATAGCCTTCGATGTGACTGATATCCCCGCACCAGAATCAAACTACATACATATCGGTCCCCTTTCAAATTGCACCTTAACTTTAATAGGTTTTACATAACTATTCGTAGTAATAAAAAACATATCGGTAAAATCTACATTACGCTCACTCGGCCCATCTCCTCCCTGGTAATATGACTCGATAACATTTACATTTTTAGGACATACCTTAGCTAAATGGCCCACAGCCTGACAATTTTTACACGTATACTTCTCGTACTTGCAAACCTTGAAATTGTGGCCTCCTTTGCCAGCATTGTGGAGTCTTCTTGGAGTCACTTCCATTGGTTGTCTTGTTTCCAGCTTCATCTTTTTCCATTCGAGGTCCCTTCTTCGGATTAGATATACCAACATTATTCACATCGGTTACGGTGTTCGACTGAAATAATGCAGCTTCCCTCTTCAAGGCTACTTCAAAAATCGCTTGCATCGTCGCCGTATGTTCTTCCTCACATACACGTTCAAGAATCGGACCTCTTAACAATCCCGAAACGAATCGATCTTTCAATACCTCGTTCAATGTGTTACCAAACTTGCACTCAATTGCCTTGTTCTTCAGTCGGACATAGAAATCTTTTTCCGTTTCAGTTTCTAACTGTTTTAAACCATAAAATTCTACTCGTTCTCGAAAAACGGAAACTTTCTTTGAATACTGTTACCTGAGAATAGTACACAATTGAGCATACGACATCCTTGGGTAATATTGGGTCACAAAGCCCTTTTAAAACATTTTACCTCATCTCCGATAGCAGTAATTAACACCACAACTTTCCCATTTTCTTCCACGTAGTTAGCCAAGAAATACTGGTCCATCATTTCCTGATACGTACTCCAGTCGCGGCTGCCATTTTAGGTTAAACACGAAATGCGGGTTCTAATGTTTACCTCGTCGCCAATATGTAATACCTGCCCAAAAGAAAACTCTTCAAACCCCAGAGAATTGAGTTTATTACTTCTAATTAACAAATGCAACTTAGTGTGCCAGAAGCGTGGTCGGAACAACTGTCATGTGTTAAACTTCATTTCCTCTTCTTTCTCTTAAGGAATATTACACAAAGGATGCTGATTTTTATGACGTAAATCTTTACCTCTTAACATGTTATTAATACCTTTAATTGTCAGATAATAGGCATTATTACTGTATTTAGAAATTAAAGAATAGTTTTAGAGAAAATTACATGTTGAAAGGATTTCAAAACATTATCAAGTTTTAATAAAAACACCAAATAGATTTTTAATAAAATAAAATTACAAAATGCTGAAATCGGTCATGTTAACTGAAACACCAATTAGAAGCGAATGACGTCACGGCTAAGTAAATACACCGTCTTAATAGCCAAGCCACAGAGTGCCGCTTTATTTATTTTCTTATTTATAAGTATAGTTCGGTGATTCTTGTAGTTTAATTAGTTAGTGTGTTCCTGCAAATTTTCAACAAAAAATAGCCGAGAGGTGTCGACCATGGAACAAGGTTTCAGTAAAGCAAACAGCTCTAATTTGCCCCCAGTTGATTTACTAATGTTGGGAGAATGTCTTGCTTCAAATAAAGACTTTTATTCATCTGAATTTGGAAATGTTAAAACTTGTATTTGGGAATTTTCACAAAATCACTTTATTGATTAAACACACTGTATAACACCAAAAACGCCAGAACCACCGTAGTACGCAACGTAATCATGCAGTTGGGCCACCTTCAATATAAAGTTATTATTCGACCATGCAGTTGGGCCACGGTCATTAAAGGATTAAAATCCCGGTTTCTGAGAAAATACTTTATCACTGATTGCAATTGAATTCTCTAATAGAAAAATTAAATAAAAAATAAAACAATTTTAAAATATTATATTTATATAATATGTACAATACAATACATACAGGGTGACCCAGGGTCGCGTTAAAGTCCCATAACTTTTTACCTAATTGAGATATCGACTTGATTTTTTTTTCAAAAGGTAGGTACAATAATACTGCGTATTATTAAAATAGTTTCGTCTATATACAGGGTGGCTTAGTATTAGAAATTCACTAAAGTTACCTTTTTTTTAATGGAACCCCCTGTATATTATAACATTTTTGAATTCTTTAGTCAATTTTAGTGTGACTTTATGTACCATACATTGTACCTAAAACCAATCGTTTAGTGGTAATTCGACATTTTCGAAAAAAGTAGAGGTTTGAAAAAAATGAATATTGCCGCTTTTGTAAAACTTAGGAGGTCGTGACTCTGGGTTATTAGTAAACATGAAATGTACTACTGTGTAACATGGATTCAGAATTGAATACTGTTTGTGTTCTTAGATGTCGATAAGCAAATTTACAAAATTTCAATTAAAGGTAACTTGATTTTTTTAAATTAAACTACCTACTTTTTTGTACACCATCTTGTAGGAAATTTTATTGCCTTTCTAACGATATTACATTGTCAATATTTTTACCTGCTAGTTTTCTCTTAATTCCGGAATTTCTTATAATTCGCTACTGTAAGAAAAATTATTGTGCTATCAAAAAAAAAACTGTTCTTTACATTATTCCTTGTACATTATCATTATCTCCCTATAATCAAATAAATTGTAGTTGATTGATTGATCTGTATACTTTTTTTATAACTCACTATCTTTTATAAAATTTTTGTTTTATTTTAATTTAATTTACTATATTGAGCCACTTTGAACAGTACTATTGAAAATTGAAAATTACCGCGAATTATAAGAAATTCCGGAATTAAGAGAAAACTAGCAGGTAAAAATATTGACAATGTTATATCGTTAGAAAGGCAATAAAATTTCCTACAAGATGGTGTACAAAAAAGTAGGTAGTTTCATTTAAAAAAATCAAGTTACCTTTAATTGAAATTTTGTAAATTGGCGTATCGATATCTAAGAACACAAACAGTATTCAATTCTGAATCCCTGTCACACAGTAGTAGATTTCATGTTTACTATTAACACAGAGTCACGGTCTTCTAAGTTTTATAAAAGCGGCAATATTCATTTTTTTTCAAACCTCCACTTTTTGCGAAAATGTCGAATTGCCACTAAACGATTGGTTTTAGGTACAATGTATGGTACATAAAGTCACACTAAAATTCACTAAAGAATTCAAAAATGTTATAATATACAGGGGGTTCCATTAAAAAAAAGGTAACTTTAGTGAATTTCTAATACTAAGCCACCCTGTATATAGACGAAACTATTTTAATAATACGCAGTATTATTGTACCTACCTTTTGAAAAAAAAATCAAGTCGATATCTCAATTAGGTAAAAAGTTATGGGACTTTAACGCGACCCTGGGTCACCCTGTACACCGTTGGAAATTTAATTTCGCATAATAGGGAATTCTTAACCGGCTGAAATCCAGTCCACTAGTACACATTTCAATAGAACGTCGCGATCAATTCTAATAAATTTAATTGTTCTCTCTTATTACTCTTAAATACTCTTATACTCTTAGCTCTTAAATATGAATTTGACAGTTTGTACGGAAGGAGTATAAAAATTAGTGGCACATAGTATCCGTTTTTATATTTTATAAAAAAAAATTGCAGCATATTGATAAATACCATCCATATAAACACTATTTACTGAACAAACAAAATTAAGATTGGTGAAACAAGAAAACACTATTATCCCGTCATTTTCACATGCACTAATCAAAAAATTTTCACCACGATTAGTTTGCTGCACATCAATTTGATGCAATTTGGAAAATACATCTGGTCGGTCTATGGGAAGCGTTGGCATTACTTTGCGACGAGCCTTGTACATATTGTTACGAATGCACTGAATGTCTTCCGCTGTTATTTGATGACTCATTTCTCCAAAATTCACAATTTATTCCCTTATAATTTTTGACGATTTTGTTCCAAGCTGTCAACAGCTTTTCTTTTAGCTGAGTTGCTTACCACTTGCCGAATAATATTGTTTTCTGCCGGATGGTCGTGACATAATTCTGACTGTAGGACTTTTGTTTCATCAGATGTACATGTATATTATTTTGCTTTACATGTTCTTCTGGTACACTTCCAACAAATCTTTCCTTCTTTCGACACGTGTGCCTTTGAAAACCTTTAATTTTTTACCACTAACAAGGGAAATCCTTTCTCGCTTAAAATAAATTAAGATTGCTGTGTCATGTTTTCTTTGCTAGGTAAATATAATTAACTATCTATATCAAAATTCTATACATTTTATAATAATGTAACAAATTGTACAAGTTCTACAAGTAATTGGATAATATAAACAGTCAGAAAAAAATCGAATAAAAAACCTATATTACTAACTTTAGTGTAGAGTTCTACATGACATTCCCTTTTACTAGGCAACACCCATTAATATAGCACAGCTACTATTCTCAGAGTGCGCTCTAGAACGTCTACGAGATTCTCACGGAGATGTCCCTTCTTGTTTATGTATGTTCTGTGGATTCACTTTCTGCGAGATGGTATTGTCTACCGCCGTTTAGACAAATCCTCTCGCAGATCCTTCCTCCTGTTTACTACTATTTTTTTTTATTTCAGGTCTTCACGCCCATCAGATGGGGATGATGCCATAAATTATGTACAACTTAAATATGAAGGAAAAATTGGCATTGTAAAATTCAAAATTTGTCCGGGGCACAAAGTACATGCAAAGTTATATGCAGTGACATTGACAGTTGATGAAGACAAAGAAAAGGTGACATCTATCCAATGCCACGATTGTGTTGCTTCTGAAGGTGGTTGTAAGCATGCCATAGCACTCCTTATGTGGGTTCATCGTAGAAGCGCAGAACCATCCTGTACTGAAGTGCAATGGTCACTGTTAAAAAATACAGGGTGGTCCATTTGAAATAACAGTTATTTCCACTTTAATTTGGCCAAGTTTGTCAGACAATTTTAAACGCCTGTACATGGATTCTGAAAATACAGTTTAGTTTCATTTAGAGTTTATGAATATGAAATAAACATAATTTTAGGTATCTTTTAATGGTCGTAAAGCCAAAAATTTTATAAAATTCATAAATTTTTTTAGTAAAAACTACTGTATTTATTAATCTTTTAAGAGGTATACTCAGATTTTGAGTTAATTTTTTTTTGAAATTTTAAAGGTATATGTTACAAAATACAAAGTTGTTCAAACAAGAATATCCCGAAAATAAAAATCTACAAAAAATTATTCTGTACATGGTGTCTACTATAAATACCGCCAAACTTCAGGAGGTAATTATACAAGTAATTTCGAACAAAAAATTGTCATGTATCACTTTTTCAAGAAGTTGATAGTTCCTCTATCGAGTAATAAAACCACAAAAATAAATCAATATTCATTACTAAATTTTCACAACAGCAAAAACAGTTTTCACTAAAACAAATTT